ATATGCATATTTTACCTACTTCTGTTGATGCTTATGTTGAACCGATCTACTCAAATCTCGTGTTTTGTTCTACTGAAACTTATAATTAACAATAAATTGATTAAACACTTAGGGGGTGCAGTTGACCCACAGTTCTGTTTCTCCACAAGGAGAACTGCTAGGGGGCTCGGAAGGAGCAGCAGGGGCCTCCCAGCATCTGCCGTCAGACCTGCTTGCTCCTTTCAGCCCCGTGCTTGGTGCAGCTCAGTCTCTGCCTCACTTAATCTTGGATTTATGCACTGCACAGAGCTCCCTTGGGAGAGGTCATGACTCTTAAGCCAGCTTAAGTCTCTGCGGTAGGATGTGTCCAAAGATCTGAGCCCACGTATTCCAGATCATCTTTGGACAGGACAATGTCTCCTCCGTTGCCTGACCCTGACAGCAAAGGCAGCATTTCCTAGTGGTCTGGCTGCCCTGCAGTATCCCAGAATCTCAGGCAGGGGTGGCGCTGACCCAGATGCTCCTAATGCAGGAGGGGAAGCTCCCCCCACCCCCCCGGACAGGATACCTTTTTTTCAACATGCATGACTGCAAAATTAAGTAGCAGCAGCCTTGCTGAGACAGCCTCTGCTCCAGATGGCAAGAAAGGCTCATGTGCTTAATTCATCTCTCCATGATGACCACATCGGATGCACAGATTTGGTTAAATGCACTCTATTTGTATGTCACTGGTTGTCCGGCATGTTGTGCTCCATCCTCTACTCACGGAGAGGATTAGATTTTTACAGGATGTACAAGAATTGTGCTCTGCTTGTGTTAAGTGTGCACTGGCACACGTGTGCATCGGTATCAAAGGTGTGCAACCTCACCAGAACAAAGGACAAGAGCAGTCTGCAAGTCTTCAAAATCTGTGTCATTTGGAAAGCCCATCCACAGATGAACGCACAGGTCAGATGTGATCCAAGCTCACCGGAATCTACTCTGGATTGCTGCATTACCAGGGCCCTCCTCTTCTGACCTTTGCAGAACCCTTCTCCACCCTTTGCCATAGGGAATCTTTTCCTGCAGGAGAGCCTGCAAGACGTTTTGCACTGCAGAGCAACCTTTCCCCCTTCTCAGGTGGTTTGCAGCGATTCAGCAGCTGTGGGGAGGCCATTCCACAAAGTTTATGTCTCCATAACAAACACTTTTGAGGGTATTACCAGGAGGGATGATTTATGGAGGAAATGCATCAAGCAGCCTTTTCTTCTGGACTTGGTGACCCTGCTTTGCTCTGTCACTTGATAAAGCTGAATGCTTTGGGTACACTCCTTGACGTGAGGTGAACTGCACAGCTCAAGGCTCCTGTTTCTGTGCCTGCTGCCCAATGGGCAGAAATGCAGCACAAAAGTTCTTCCTTCCAGAGAGGTGCAGGAGGGATGGAAATGCCACCTGCCGAGTTGGGTCATGCCGAGGCCCAGGGTGAGCAAAGGGCAGTGAGCAGCAGCTTCCTCAGACTGAGACTTTGTGTGATTCTCAGTTCCTGCCATTAGGACTCCACTGTAGGACTGGGGCCCACTCGAGAATCTGGGGTGCTAGTAATGACGGTGGCGGGAGTCTTGAGACTTGGATAGTCCGGGGTGCCATCTAGGATGCAGATCAGTGTCCAAGAAATGCATCCAGTGACTTCAGATCAATAGAGGACCAGCTCTGAATGGGTCCCTCCAGCCCGACCTCCACTGCTTTGCCAGCAGAGTTTCATCCAATGAAGCTCCAGGCCGGTCAAAGCAGCAAACCAAGCTGCATGGAATGAAGGCGTGGAGGAACCTCAGGCTACAGGTAGGCATGGTGCGGCACCGCCCAGTGGAGGCCATGCTGGATCCCTACGAGGTGTTGTGGGAATAGGCCAGTTAAAGAAAACGGATCCCTTCCCCCAACACCACTTTTTGCCCCGTGGGCTTTCCTTCTGGCCAAGGGGAAAAGGACTTTTTAAAAGAGCTGATATTGGGGAGAACACCACAGGAAAAGGTCTTAGCCTTCCCCCAACACAATGTCATTTATCTCTCCCCTTCCCATTGTTTTGTAGGGATACCCCAACAACCCAACTCCAGCATATGCAAATGCTCCATCACAAACTCACATCTTTGACTACTTTCTCTTCTGGCAATGTATAATTCTTCAATGCACAGAAAGAGCAAATGGCATCACGCAATTTGACATTAGCCCCCAAGGAGAAAAGAAAAGAAAAGAAGATGCCTTGCCCACTCAAGTAGGAGAAATGGGCAGCCCATAATAATCTGCTACCCTGAGTGCTCCTTCCCCCAGCTCAGGAAGGAGCAGAAATATCTGGCTGAGTTGTACACACAGTAGTTCTGATGGTTGACTTGAAGGGACCTGTCTTGGCAAGTGAAACAGATTCATCATCCATCTTCTTTTGCTAAGCAGAATGAAGGAGTCCTGGGGGAGGGAAAGGGACTGGCTGGGGGCCTGAAATGATCAATAAGAATTGGATGCAAAGGGAGTCTGTAGCGATTCTCTGCGATTGCCCCGCTCCTGGCAAAGCACCATCGTCCCCCCTCCCACTCTGAATCCTTCTCTGCACTGTAATTTTTCCTTGCCTGATCGGGCAGCTATGATCAGATTTGTGCCAAGGTTACCCTTTCAATCAGCTGTGGCCATTCCATAAATGCTTCTTTCCCACCTTTGCTCTTCACCTGTCTCCACCTGTTTCTTCCTCCGCCAGGGCCCAGAACTTTAACTGGCTTCCCAGGGGTGTGAAACCAGTCATCACCCCAAGAAACAAGTACATTTTCGCACACTCTTGCATTAGATCTCATTTCCCTTCCAAATGAAGAGGCTCTGCACAACTCATTTGGAAAAGCAGGGCATCCATTCCTCTTCCTTAACATTTTCATCACACATTTGTAAGTGATCTGTGAACTTCACATATCAACTGTAATCCCTACGACAACTTTGCAATATGGGCCAGCGCTGTGATCCCCGGAGAGCATAGTGCGCTTTCCTCTTTACGCCCCTCCTTCCTCTCCCTCAGGCTACAACAGCTCTTGCTCCCTAAGGACCACCGTTCCCCTAATGTGTCTCCAACCATTTCACTGGGAGCCTTTATTGCAATGCAGGCAATTCTGGGGTGGAGCTTTAAATGGGCAACGTTGCAAGAAAGGATTGCAGCATATTGAGGGCTATACTGACTTTTTGCTTTTGTGCTCCCAAAGAGCTTTGGTTTCCTACATTTTTTTTAAATCAGCCAAACAAAATTGCATTTCATCGCAAAATTGTGATCTCGCCTCCTCTCTTCACAAAGAACTTGGCGCTGTGTTCCAGACTGCCTCCTTTATACTGGCAGTTTTCACTTTTAAGGAAGCAAATATGTTTGTCCCCATTCATGTATCTCTGTATCCCCAGCTTGTTCTTCCCTCACAGGGCATTGTGTGAGTGAAGTGCTTTGTACAATACTACCTCCGGTTTGCCTCGGCCATATAGTGGATGGAAATGGCAAGTTTAGGCCAATCTTCTCCAAACTGGTGCTCTTCAGAGGTGATGGACTTCAACTCCCATTAGCCTCAGCCAGCATGGCCAATGGCCAGCCATGTTGGGAACTGTAGTCCAAAACTTCTGGAGGGAGCCAGGTTGGGGAAGTCTGAGTGAGGAGATAATGATGCTCTCAGTGATGCCAGACCATTAGAGGCCGAAGGGACCAATGTCTGACAGAGTCCCGTGTTCCTTGTTCTGTCATCCAGCAAGCTAAGGAGGGCTAATGGAGCACCGCAGGAGGAAAGGGGCTGAGCCAGCCCAGCAAGCAGTGCCATCACACGAACGGATGTGGTCTAACCAGCCCACGTTGGCCTATGGAGAGCAGCCATCTTGCTCTACCTGCTCTATATGCCTCCCTGTTCTCTTGCCTGCCCCTTCATCAGCTCGCTTCTGCATTCGCTGACCCTCCCCCAACCTCCCTGCTGCTGCTCCTGCTTTGCATTATCCTCATCCTGTCTGGAGCTGGAACAGATTCATACAAAACGAGGTCTTTTCAAAAAGCACTGTCCTTATTTAACAGTCAAGCACCAGCACGCTCTGCCTGGCAGATAAGCCATCTGCCCAAGGTTTTTCTCCCTCCCTCCCTCCCTCCCTCCCTGCCTCCTCACACACTCTGTGTGGATGCCTTCCCAGCCCAGGGCATGCTGGCTGGTGGGCAGCCCTCTGCTCTTTCGATCCCCCGCAGCCCAAGCTCTCCCTGGGGGACCTGAGCACTGCCGCGGGCGAGCGGGCCTCCAACAGCCAGAGGTTTGCCAATGTGTGCAGAGCTGGAAGCAGTGTGAAAAGAAGGCAGCCAGGGCCGACAGTGGGGAGACGGGACTGGCAGTCTTGGGCTGGGATCTGGCTCCTGGCACCTTCTCACCCAGCCTGCCCCCAAGTCCCTGGTCCAGGGCTCTGCTCCCCTTGATGCGGCATCTGTGCCATTATCTCCCAAGTGAAGACCCAGGCAACCAAATGCAGCTGTGCTCTGGAATTCTTCTCACTACTCATCATCGATGAGAGACAGAACTGCTTCTGGCTCAGGGACCAAACTCCATTCTGGAGATGTTTTCAGGGTTCACTTGCCAATCATGGGCAAAGCTGAAGGCAATGTTGAGGCCTTCATGGAACTCCATTGGGCAGGACCGGGCCCTTTCCTAGATCTCGAGAGGGGGTCCCTGAACTGCCCTGGTTGTTGCTCATCACCCCTGGCCTGTGGCAGAGTCAGAAAACATGGGCACCCATGACCTTGTGAGGCTGTGGCTTCCTTCCTTCTCTCCTGGAAAAAATACATCTGGCCAGGAATGCAGGTGAATGCAGGAGTTTGGGTGCAAAAAGAAACTTTTCTGAGGATAGGGAACCTTGGCTTGAAGAGACAGACCAGCAGCTGTCTAAACTAGACTGTCCTCCCTGTTGATGTCCAGGGGGCATGGACCCTGTAGAGGCATTATGGAAAAGCACCCGGCCGGGAAACAGCCAAAGGCTGAGCCTCACCACACCTCCATCCTTACCGGCTTCTCCGAATGAGGGGTGGTCTCCGTGGCAGCCATGTCATAGTAGGGGGGCAGTGGGGGCAACTTCTGGATCTCCTCCTCTTGCTCCTTCATGTTGTCTAGGTGCACAACCTGCGGTTAGTGGGGAGAAACAAGGTTCAAGGGGCAGATTAATCTTCCTCACCTGAGCAGCAAAAGAAGGCGCTCTTCCAAAGAGAGGCAAGGGGGAAGAGTGGAGCATCCATCAAGGATGGCGAAGCGAGCAAGGAAGAGGCCTGAGGCCTACACTAGTCCATGTGTCCTTCTCCTTCTTCACCACTGTTAGGGAGGACATGCCACAATTTGCGTGCATTAAGACCCTGGTTTAATCAAGGGATCACTCTCTCTCTGCCTGAACTGAAATGCGACGGTGCCACGCAGACCTGCTGATTCTGGGCTACAGGGATTGATTGCCACACTGGCAGGGCGGCTGCATCCTTTGCTCTTCCAAGGAGTAGAAATGGCATCACCATGGCTTTGAGAAATTGTTGCCAGGTGGAGAGGATGCAGACAATTTCCCCCAGACTTTTCTCCCATCTCTTCCTCCAGAGATTACAGATGATGTGGGGTGGGGTGTCCTTGCCATTTGCATAGTTTGCTCCTGGTGGGGCCAGTGGATGCCCACATTCGCCACCTTCTTCTTAAAAAGACTGCCAGTCATTCAAATGGATGCACCTATATTTCTAGGACAACTGTGGCCTAGATGGGCTGGACTACAACCTCCATCATTCCTGGCAGCTTGGAAATGATGGTCACTGGAGTCCAAGAAATTATGAAGGTTCCACTTTAGGAAAACACAGTCCTACCTCTGTGCAGCTGTCCTGCCAAGTCTTCCCAGATGAAAGAGCTCCGTAAAACAGATGGCCAGGATTTCCTGACATATATTTGCATAATCTATCACTGTTTCAATATTAGGGAAGAAACAATGCCCAGCAAGGTGGAAGGTACCTGGATATCGTCTGCTGTCAGGTGACTCTTCATCTCTTGCTTCCACTTGGGAGGTGGGGGAGCAGGTTTGTGGGAAGGTGGGAGGTCAATCCTGTAGCAAAAGAAATGGGTAGCTGGAAAGGCAGCAGAGGGCCTCTGCAATGCCCCTTCCACAGCATGGCAGCCTTGCCCTCTGGATACGTTGGACACGTTGCCCTCCAGCTCTTCTGGAGCGTGTTGGGCTGCTTTGTCGAAATCACTGGCTCAATGCATTTCGGAATGTGTGGCTGAAGAAGGTAGTCAGTGAGAGGAGGAAGAAGAAACTGGAGACGAGAGCTGGGATCCTTCCAGCAAGGCAGAGGTGCCCCCTCCCCTGCCTGGCAACTCTATTTCCTTTCCCATGCCAAGTAAACCACTTGATAGGAAAGAGAGGAATGGGGGGAGAGGAAGAACACTTCCTTTGGGGACCCTCTTGCTTCTACCTATCCATTCCTCCAGCCCTGAAGAGGGAGTTCAGGAAGCAGAGGGCTCATGGAAAAGAGGTTGCCCACAGCTTTCCACCTATTAAAAAAACAGCACTGCTTTCTTCAGGAACTAGGTGTGTTTGCACAGTGCATTCAGTCCACCTCCCCAGGCTTACGTGTCCTGAATTACCTACCCCAGGAGGTAGGATCAGGGCAGCCAGTCACCATGACTCATTTTAAGTTCAACTGCTTAAGCCTAACCTTGTCCAGAACGCTAACCAATGGTCCATGCTGCTATGCAGTACGAACAGGAACAGAGTCTAGGGCAGGAAGGGGAATGGTAGCTTGAGTGCTCTGTTCTTCCCCCTACCCAAGCAAGTTTTGCAAAATGAAAACAGATTCCCCTCTAGATATAATTAAGTATATCCAGATCCTCCACGAAGAGAATAACTCTATGCAGAGACAGTGAGTCAGGACCTGTGCCCTACTGGCATGCAGGCAGGATCGGACCTAAGTAGGGAAAGGGAAGTACTAAAAAAAAGAAAAAGGTCATGAACAGTGATGGCTTTTCCAACCCTCCATTCTCCAGGGAGGCTGAGAGAAGCTGGAGCAGGCGGAGGAGAGATGCATTCACCATCTCCCAGGGGAAATAACATTTTGAATGCTGGTAATGGACTGCCTGGCCCTGTTAAAAGAACAAGATGAGATGAAGGCTTGCAAACTGCATTCGGGGAGGTGCAAATATGGTTTGCTGCTTGAGGTTAAAAGAGGATTTGTATTATTATAATTGTTTTTGCATTGATTTCCTGCCTTTTTCTTCACACAGTGAATTCAGGGCAGCTTGAATGGTCCTCTTCCTCTCTGGTTTATCCTCACAACAGTCCTGTGAGGTAGGTTAAGCTGAGAGTCAGTGACCAGCCTGAAGTCCCCCAGTGACCTTCATGGCTGAATGGGGCTTCAAAGAGAGGTGGCAAAACGACTGCTTGGCACTGGGCTGGAGAGCCAGTGTCGTTCCGTTCCACTGGGTTGCTCTTTTCATGAGTCTTATTTATTTAATTGATTGATTGATCTAAAACCTTTTTAAGACCATCCCTTACCATTGTCTTGGGACAGTTTAACAGTAAGACAACATAGAATAAAACACAGCATCCTAAGAGCAGCATGCAAGAACAGCCTTGTAAGAACAGCACCATGGACAGCGCTGTCTTGCTCACTATAACTTGGGGTGCACAACAAATCCATTCCACCTGAAGAATGTCCACAGAGTAACACCCCGTGATATCGGTAGCTATGCATTCATCACCCCAAGGAGTCGTGAGATGTGCCACCTCCCCCTGCTGGGGGACAGGGATGGCTGCAGTACAGTACTCACAGGTCATTGTCCGCATCGGAACGGCTCTTTTGCTGTCGTCTGTACACAACAAAGACGGTGACAGCCACACCAATAATGAGAGCAGCTGCAATCACACCACCCAGAATTCCAAAAATGCTTCCAGGGCCCCCCTGGGGCAAGGGCTTATCTATAATAAGGAAAAGAAAGAAGTTCTATAAACCACAACTGCAAGGTATTTCCAGACTCATCTCTGCACTGAGATGATGTTCGCATTTTAACTGTCGCTTCATACTTTTTTCATACATTGATATGCCAAGTGCATTGCGAAGATATGCAAAGCATACATTTTTCTGCTTTACTCTAACTCTGCATCGTTGTGTGTGCAAGGAAAACTCAAACTCATTGAAAGTTCCCAAAATCTATGCCTTGTGTCCACATCCCACGGGCGTCTCTTCTTTTCACATAGAATGTTCTCAAGATGTACACCCACTGATGACACCTTTGAAATGTATGCACACTTCTCTAATTGATTAAAGCAGGCTTGTGCACATTTGGCAAAAGGACACATTTGTCAAACAAACACACACTGCTGAACGTATTGTGATTGGTCTGTGAATCACACTGCTAGCTCAGGAACATACAGACTTTATCTGCAGGTTCTGATTGAGTTCATTTTTACTTCAGGAGTTGTAAACTGCATAGCAAAAAGGAAATGAAACAATGCACCATTCTAAAATGATTGGTGGCTGCAGAAAGTGGGGCATCGCATGGCTGTCTGGCCCTGTGGATTTCCTTTCCCCTAAAGGGTTTTGGTGTACTTAGATGGTTTTACTTCCAAGTTATCTGTATTTTTCAATGTGCAGCTCTCTTGTCATGGCCTTTGTCTTGCTGCCCAGCCTGTGAACAGTTCCACCATGAGTTCTTTTATCTGCTCAGGGAATTTCCTGGCTCAGCCGACAGGCAGCTCTTGACCAACTCCGCCCCACTTTCCAACATGGAAATGCACCCTGCATGCACCGCCTCAGCCCTCCTGCAGCCAGCCTTGTCAGCCGTACATCTTCATCTTGCCAGACTGTCATCTTTGCAGACTGGGCTTGTCTTTGCAGAGTTGTTTTATTCTCCAGAATCTGATATACTCTCATGTTTTCTTTAAAAAAAGCAAAGCTACCTGTCTACTGATTAATGGGTCATGCTGAGTCTCCATGATAGAATGACAGTTTCTTCTGTGCGTTGCAGATGCCAGGAGAACGGCAGATATACCTGCAGGTTGCAATCTTTCTGTAGGAGCTGGTGTAATGCAGGTATGGCCTCAAATCCCAGGGTCCAAGTTTGACGTTGATTAATGGGCTAGTTCACACATGGCTGCATGGCCTTTAATGTGTGGATGAGACAGCCAAGATCATGTGCCAGAAAGGGGACATTCATGCCACTTAACCTCTTGCATTAATTTCAGTAGAAATCATACGCTTGTTCACCCTAACTGTATCCTTGGAGGTGGATGACTAGATACCATCAAAGAAGGAAGAGAAATTCCTTCCCAAGTAGAACACTCACACATGCGGGAGAGAAATCCTGTCGCTCCATCTCCCCTGAGGTGCTAGTTTTCTGCTTGCAGGGCATCAACTTTTTACAGAGAGCCTTCCAAACTGTGATTCCCTGCCACTTGCAGTCTGAAGCAGTGCAATGCAGCCCATTTTGCTTTCTGCACTTGGCAAGTCTTCAAGGGAGTATGCAGAGAATCCGACCCAAAGCCTCATTCCAGTGCCACCACCAAACCCACGAGAAGAGAGAGGGGCTGCCCTCACTATCCCCACCTTTGATGTCTGTGGGGCCATGTGCACACCCTTGGAGAGGAAGGGCCCCGTGTGCATCTGGCCGAATGTGTGAAGGGTCTTTGCCAAAGAGCACTGGGTGTGCATGAACAGCATTAACAAACATGGTGTTATCAGGGCAGGTGCTAATGCATGCAATCCCACTTCACCCTCACATGTCCACTGGATATTTGGGGAGGGTATTTGTGTGTGTACGTGTGCGCGTGTGTGTCTAAAGCCGTCCTTAGTTATCTGATGGGGAGAAATGGAGGTGGCGCTGATGCGTGGGTGAATTAAGCCCCTGGAACTTTTTCTCCCATTTTGAGGGCAATGAAGATGGATCTGCTAAACCAACCTCAGTAGGGCCCTTCAGGATTTCAGGGAATTAAAATCCAACAAAACACAGAGCAACACATCGTCCTAGCTTGGGAGGAATCTTCAGAAACCCCCATCTTAGAAGATCCATTTTGCTCCCTTGGGATTATTATGTTTCCCCTCTTTTAATTAATCAGTTGCATTACATTAGCAGCTACTCTTCCCTCCGTGCTCCATGCATGGCTGCTGATCTTCACCCCGCTTTCATCGTCACAACAGCCCTGTGAGGTAGTGTAGGCTGCAAGGGAGCTATGGCTCATGGTGATCCTGTGAGCAGCAAGGCTAACTGCTGGAATTCTGCAGGGACCTCATCTGGCTCTCTGAGCACAGCATCACATTCAGAAAGAGTTTATCCTGGGGCCAAATTACTCCCCTTATTTGCTACAGTGTTTTCTGTTACTTCGGCCTGCTTTGCATTATTACTTTTAAAAACTGGCTGTGCTGTTCTTTCCTGTTGTTTATTGGAAGGGGGTACTAATTGCCTTCTACTCCTGTGACTAATTGCCACATTGTATAACCGAAAGGCGAGATATTGCATTTTCTTATAACACGGAGGTGGGCAAATTTACCCTGAATGGATCTGTTTTTTATGGAGGAAGTAATGAATTCATCCATGTGAGTCCTAATGAGCACTCTTTCATATAAGATCTTGTTCCGTGCATGAGCGATATCAAGGCACAATATCAATATTGCATGAGCGATATCAAGGCGCATCTCCGGAGCTGCACTTAGGAAGTGTGGCGTTGTGGCATGGAATTATTCATCACCATTGATGTGCTGTTTCCCATAGCCTGCCCTTGTGATGATGTCACATCATGGTTACTCATTGCCACCATAAAGGTGGTCTCAGAAAATCCTCCTCTTCCTCCTCCTCGCAGCCAGAGACATGGTGGCGACCATGATGTGGGATGCGGTACATTTGTGGAGTGCCGGGGAAGTGCCATTTTTAGTGAGCTGGGCTCTCTGTGCTACCTCGCTAGACATGTTCTGAAGCTCACAGTCGATGCCGAATTGAATAGCAAATTCATAATACATCGATTCAGGCTTGCTACGGAGTTGAGCGTCGCAAGCAAATGCGTTTCAGCCAATAAGCCAACCGTTCAGAGGCATCACCATAATCACCTCTGAAAATAAAGCTGCAGACTCCAGCCCAGATTTGGGCAGAGCTGAAGTTTAGCAGCAGCCCTAATTCTGGGAGTCTCTTGGACCCGTCTCAGAATCCCCGTTCTATCCATCTTGGCTAATGTTCTGGAGCAATGATGGGCTAAGCTAAGCACCTTCTTGGGAATTAGTGCTTCACATTCCTCTTCCCCTTCAGACATCATGCAATGCTGAGCATTTTTCTGCCTTGCACAGACTTTGGGAAAACAGCTCTGTAGCTGCTGCCTTGGCTGGAGGGGAGCTAGAGGAAGGGGTCAGTAAGCACCAGTCGCTGCTCTTCCCTCCATGGGGCTGGCAGGCCTTCTCCCAGATTGGCGGAGGGAGAGGCTGGTGCCAGCCCTGGGTTTGAAGATGCCCTTCTGTCAAAGGCAGGCAATTCGGGGGCCAAGGGGGAGGGGGGAGAGCTCGATGGGAAAGGGCACGAAACATATGATAAAAGGATTTAATTTGCTCTACCTTCCAATCTAATTAAAGTTGAAAACCAGCTAATTGGTACTTTGTACTTCCAGCTCCAGTGGTGATGAAAGGGAAAGATAATTGTCAGAGAGAGGGAAAAAAGTCAGCAGGGTGGGGGGAAGACAGAGGAGGAGGAGAGGGGAAAATGATCTGATCACCTGAAAATAATGGGTGGGCAAAATGGTAGCAAGGAGAGAACAGAAACAGAAAAAAGAGCTAGCAAAAATACACAGTGAAGCCTGACATTGCAAGGGAAGAAAACATAATCGGGGAAAAGCTACAGAACTTCTCCTCTTCCTAATACTCACTAATATAAACACAGGCATGTCAGTGATACATTTCCAGAAAACAGACTTCAGTGGAACAGCAGTATTAGCAATCCTAAAAAACTGGCTGCTTTCATGAGGTCCAGCAGCATGAGCTGTCAAACACATTCTCCACCCATACAACTGCAGGACACAAATGCTCACAGAAAAGTCAAGGGCCTTTATGCAAGATGTTGAGTGTAACTCAACACTTTCAGTCCCACTCTTGATGTTTGTGGAGAAGGGGTTGTTTTGCCAGGGCAGCTGTTCCCATGCAGGTAAAAAGAGAGAAATTCCCTCTTTTGTGCTCAAAGGAGATCCTTGCTGCCTTTGTGGCAGTGGGATGCTCTAACCTGTCGGTTTATTCTGTGCTGATAGCATTACTGTAATCATTATTATGGGGTGCCATTACCTATGACAGAAAAATAATCACAAAAATGCTTTTAACACACATGGCTTTTACAAAGTGTCACTTTCAATACACTGGAGAAGGGAGCTGAATCGTGCTTTCTGCTCCCTACATGTTTTAATTCTGAAATGGAATCCATGGCTCCAGAATCCACAGTCTTGTCTACTTCTATCTCCTCCTTCTCAACCCACAGAGCGGAGATCTTTCCTGATGTCCCGGTGATCAGAACTAAACATTCTGCCTTGAAAGTTAATTAAAAACTTAAGAATCTTCTTTCCAGGCAAGACTTTCCAGGAGTCCATCTAGTCTTTAAAGCTGCTACGCACAGAGACCCTTCTCAGCCCTTGGGCATTACCTGCAAATGTAAATGCTTTTTAGATGATGCTCAGTATTGCTTTTTAAGATCTTCATCTTTGCAAAGCACCCAGGGATAAGGAGCAGTTGTAGCAAAAGAAGGGAAGTGAACTCGTCTCCAGTGAGACGGCGCCCTGTTATTAAGCCTTGTTGCCTCAAACTGCCCTGCGTGTGAGGACCTATTTATCCACCGTGTATCTAATAGCCACTGACTGATTTGTCCCTTGCAAGTTTCCCGGAGGCCACTAGATACCATCTAGAGAGCCACGGAATAGTCGAGTCTCATCTCCAAACTCAGAAATGTGTTCCAAGTTGG